GTTGTTTGGCGGGTCCGGGCTGGGGATTCGAACCCGCCACCTTAGGTGTACGTGGCTGGCGCCTTAGCCGGTTGAGCTATAGGTGTCGAGCCATACACTGTCAACATTTTACCACAGGCTTTACCAGTACCTCAGAAGCCTCCCTCATGCCCTCTACCACTGATTAAACAGTTCAAAGGAGACCATTGTTGTTTTTTTTTTTTTGAGACAGAGCCTCAAGCTGTCCTGCTGGGTAGAGTGCTGTGACATCACAGCTCACAGCAACCCCCAACTCCTGGGCTCAAGTGAGTCTCCTGCCTCAGCCTCCCAAGTAGCTGGGACCATAGGCACCCACCACAACACTCGGCTATTTTTTGGTTACAGCCGTCATTGTTGTTTTGGTGGCCCGAGCTGGATTTGAACCCGCCACCATAGGTATATATGGCTGGCGCCTTAGCTGCTTGAGCCACAGGCACCGAGCCTAGACCATTGTTTTGATTTCTGTCAGATTAGCTGTGCCTGCTCATTGGAATCATACACTGAACTCTTGTGATAGCTTGTTTTCTTTTGATATTATGTTTATGAGATTCATCTGTGTTATATTCCATTGCTTGAATATACCATAATTTACTTATAGTATTGGTACATATTTGTATTATTTCCAATTTGGGGCTATTAGAAATAATACTGTTATGAACATTCTTATATGTGTACATTTCTGTTGTTAACATTCTTAGGGTTAGAACTGTTGGATCATAGGTTATGAACGTGGTCATTATTAGTACATAATACCAAACAGTATCAGCTTATCCTCCCACTGGCAGTATATAGGATGTGTCTCATAAACATTTGATATCTTCAGCTTTCAAAAGTTTAGCTGTTATGCTAGTGGGTATAATAGTGTGGTTTTAATTTGCATTTTCCTAATAACTGATAAAAGTGGGCATCTTTTTACATGCTTTTGGCATTAGGCTTATCTCTGTTACAAAGTACCATTTGGAATATTTTTCCCACTTAAGAAAACTTCATTGTCTGTTTTTAAGCTTTTTAAAATTTTTTATTAACTTGGCTTCTTGTGTATTCTGGATTCATATCCTTTGTCAGATATGTGTATTGCAGATATCTTTATGTACTCTTAATGGTGTGTTTTGATAAATATAAATTCTTTATTTTAATGAATACTGATTCATTAGTCTTTTCCTTTATATGGTTAGTGCTTTTCTGAGTATTATTTAAGATATCTTTGTCTCCCACAAGGTTATGAAGATAATTTCCTGTTATTTCTAGAAGCCTTAGTATTTTAACTTTTTTAGTTTAGATCTACATTCTGTCAAGAACCCAGTTTTATGTATAACATGAGGTAGAGTCATGAGTTCAAGATTTTTCCTCTTTTTAAAAATAATGTTGACATTCGATTAACACAGCACCATTTATTGAAAAGACAGTCCATTTCTCTTTACAATGCAGTGCTCCCTTTGTTGTAAACCTGGTGACTGTAATTCACTATTGAGGATTAAGGGGTGTGTGGAAGGAGAAAGATCAGTCTGGGTCTTAAATAGTAGTGCTAGCCCATAGTGGGGTTAAATTCATTTACGGAGTGGTAGATCTGCCAGTTATTCAGGGATATATCATAAAACTATTTTGCTTTGGGGGCAATGCCTGTGGCTCAGTGAGTTAGGGCGCCAGCCCCATATACTAAGGGTGGTGGATTTGAACCCAGCTCCGGCCAAACTGCAACAAAAAAATAGCTGGGCATTGTGGCAGGTGCCTGTAGTCCCAGCTACTAGGGAGGCTGGGGCAAGAGAATCACCTAAGCCCAAGAGCTGGAGGTTGCTGTGAGCCATGATGCAACAACACTCTACTGGGGGCGACAAAGTGAGACTCTTGTCTCTAAAATACAAAAAAAAAAAAAACCCACCAAACTATTTTGCTTTTTTTCCTCTCTTTTCTAACTATGGAAATAATTTCAAATTTATATAAAATTTGTAGAAATAGTACATAGAGCTTCCCTCTATCATTTACCCAGATTCTGTGTTTTTGCATATCTGAGCCATTTGGGAGTAAGCTGTAGATGTGATGTCCCATTACCTCTTAGTACTTCAGTGTGTATTTCCTATGTGCATGGACACTCTCCTATCAGGAAATTAACA